AGTAATGAGTAGTATAAAATAAAATTCTCCACGGGCGCGTTAAAGCGAATGGTGAGTTAGGTTAATAGAGACTGTAATTATTTTTACAGGAAATGAAGACATTATAGAACTGATAGTACGGTCTAATGATTATTGTCAGTTTCATGTTCTCTGAGAACCACGTAGGACGATTACGTGTTACACTGATGATATCAATCGGCAGAAAGTGTATTACACCTACAATGGCAGCAGTCTAATTATACAGCGGTATTTTTTACCGCAAGAAGTCAATATACTTGTTTGCCCGTTTTTGTGCTGTGAAAAAAATTCCTCGAAAAGAAACGTTACAAAAGAAAAAGTGTCTACCAGAAAAAGGGATTCTTCACGGCTGATCATCAACGATTAACCTAAATATGTCTGTCACGCTTTCAAAAAAGGATAATTGCAAGCTACCTAATTTTATTTCGCCATTTCATGGCATTGTTCGACATTCTTTCAGTAACCAAAAACCTTAATTAATATATTCGATTTAAGACATAAATAAAAGAAAAAAAAAAATCACATGTTTCTGAAAAAAATTCGAGGCTACTTAATCGGTACACCGTTTCAATATATGTAATACGTATAATTATACTGCGGATTTTCGTACAGATTCATATTTTTGAGAATATCTCGGTGAAAAGTTATTATATCGTAGAAAGCATTATATTTTAAACACTTCATATATATTACTTATGTATTTCTATAAATGCATAAAAAATGTACAAAAATAAATTATATCTATGCTTTCAAAAACTAAAATCAGCCCAATTAATTATTAATTCTATAACTCGTGGAATCTTTGATCAAGAAATAAAAAGATATTTTTCCATTAAGGGGAGCAAAAACCTTTTTAAAAAAAGGGGTAGGGGGAGAAGGAGCTCTATTTTCCGACCGCCAAGCGATCCATGCTTTTACTACACCGCGCAATACGAGTAGAAAAATTTCCAAGCTATTACGGTTCGTTTCCCGGAATCTCTGGCGCGTTATCGTCGTTTCGAGCAATATCGAACCGCGTTCCGATGCGAGTCGCGATAACGATGCCGCGGCGATACTTAATGGGTCGAGAGAACGCGTGATCGATCGCGCCGTGGAACATCGAAAAACGCATCGAAAAGGTTAGGAGAAGGTGAAAAAAGGAAAAGAAAAAAAAGTCAGGAAGAGTTGAAAAAAAAAA